ACGTTATATCAGGTTTATTTTATACATTAACATAACAGATATCCATACAGCAGTGGAGATTAACCTGTATCCTGTCACATTTGTGTGCAAAAAGAGAGCAAAGCTAAATGCGCGTGCTGTCTGTCTGTGTGTGTCTGTGCTGTGTGTGTGTGTGTGTGTGCATGAACTTTGTAACAACATTGTGTGTAACTAGTCGTTGCAACTCCACAACAAATACTGATTGGTAAAGTTCTTACTGTAGTATTTTTCACAAACGCTACGTGAGATCTGCTTTCTTTAAGTCTGTCTGTTGTCTGACGCAGCTGAGGGAGGAGATTAAGGCACGCAGAAAGGCACATAGAAATGGGGCAGGGGAGGACTAGCCTTAAAGGTGCAGTACAACAAAACCGCTACCTGATGCAAAAAGGTATAAGATAGATTCTTATAAAAGGTATAATAAAAAATCTGATTTGTGTTTTGAGCTGAAACTTTACAGACACATTCTGGAGACGCTAAAGACTTGTTTTAAATCTGAAAAAAGGGGTAACCTAGGTGCCCTTTAAACGATTCACCACACTGTAAACCCTAATAAGTTGAGACTAATCAAATGATATGAGGAAAGTGATTCCCTCAGTTCGTTTGAGTAATGAGAAATCGACACCTCAATTAAATGAGTTGACCAAATGTGGTCTCTTCATTGAATTAACATAAATGTTTAAGTACAGATAACTTAAATGTTATGTATATACTGTATAAATACATGCATACATGTATATACATCCATAGAAAATGTTTATTTAAATTTATATGAAACATTTATAACACGCACACAAACACCATATTTTATGTAAATATTTTTAAGTGTGCTCAGCATAATTAGGCACACCACATTTTAAAAATGAATATTTTTCTCCATTTCTCAGTTAATATAGGGAATGTATATTGCTGCATTTAAACAAAACAGATTTTTTAAACATATATAATTATTAAAATAATATTTTAGTCATCGAGCATCTTTAGAAATTGTAATATAATACAAATAAATTAAAGCAAAATTTAGCAAAACAAAAATTACAACCTACAAAATTTCAACAATTATTTTTTTGCTTCTCTTGATTTTTTTTTTCTAAAATTTGTATTTAGTTTTTTTTCTATAACATTAAATTGGGTGTACTAGTTTTTAGATCATTATCATAAGTTATTTTGTTAGATAAGCTCCAAATTTGGCTTCAGTACTTACTAATCTAATGTAATATGCACACATATAATATTGTATAGCTTCCTATTAAAATATGAATTTAAAAGATTGATTTGTGATAAGTGTACTTAAAAATGCTGAGCACAGTACATATGCATAATGTGTGCATATATGCATAAAAATATACACAGCACATGCAGATATATTAAAAATACTTTTCATTAAAAGGGCACCAATTCAAAACTGCCATCTTTTATGAGCTCCCAGTTGTTTTTTCTGTTGCATTGTGTTGTTGAATGGCTAAGGGGTTATTATTCCATCTGCTCAGAGTCAGAGCTAACGTCATGTTTTGCTCATGTAGCTTTATTTAGAGACTCTGGAAATGAGGAAGTGTTGATGGACTTTAATGGCCTATCTGACATATCTTATTTAAAGGGTCCTGGAATACTTTGGTGGTCTAATATCAGCACATTGACACTATCTTTGGCTACAAAAGTCCCTGCATTTTGACAGTCCTGTAAGCTTTTTCTTTCACTAAAGATGTGGTGGAATCTTTAGCCCAATGGTTAAAGCGTATGCTCTGAGATGTTAAACGTTTGTGGTCCTTTCTTGGTTGTCAGTGGCTAGTAAAAAAACTAACAACAACTGTAATAATAATAATAGTAATAATAATATTAATAACAATAATACATTTATTGCTTAAATATTGTATGCTATTATTTTATTTATTATTTTATTCTTTCTTTCTTTCTTTCTTTCTTTCTTTCTTGATTTAAAATCAGCCATTATACTGAATTGTAAGGTTGTTCAGATTATAGTATGTAAATAATAAACAACAAATACAATAATACATTTACTGCTTGATTACATTTATTAAATGTAAATATTATTAATATATATAATTTATTTATGTAAATAAAGTACACTCAAAAAATCAATTCAAATTCACTAAATAAATTTTTTTTTGCAAAAAATATATGAGTTAAGTTAATTTCTCATGTTGCCTCAACACAAATCGATTGTTTGTAACACTGTAAAAAATGAAGGGGTTCCACACAATTATATTATGTCCCAACACAAATTGATTAAGTTAGTTGAACTGTTTACAAATTTAAGTGGACTGAACCTAAAAAAATTAAGTTGTCCCAAAAAACAAGTTGTCAACAAAAAACAAGAACTTTTGTTGATTCAGCTCATTTGAAATATATTAGTTTGGTCAAACAGAAAAGCTATTTTTAGTGTACAGTTCTTTAGTCTATCAGATGTATTAAACAAATTCAGTAATAATAATAAGTAATTTTGGAATTATGTAATAAACTGAAGGTAACTTTAGGTCTTTGGGAGGGCGTGATCTTTTACATGCTCTTTAAAATATTGCTTTTTGCTGCTTGTTTAAACTACTTATTTAAAACGAGTTGAATCAACACAATTTCCAAGATGTTTTTTTAAATGCATTTTTTATTTCTCTTTGCTATTTGGGCTTATTGGAACCTAATTAGAATTAAATCTAAGTATCATCTTTTGATATGATATACTTTTAGAGAAAAATGATGTCCATATATGTGGACTCATGGTCCGAATTTACATAAAATACTTTTTCCTAAATGTTTTTTAATGCATATTTAACATAGATTTTTTTTTGAACATGTTTGACTATCAGAGAGTAAAAACAACATTGTTTGCCTATTTTAGACAGTTAAAAATAGTGTTTGGGACTTTTCATATGACACTGTATGTCTGTTACAAAATATAATACATTCAAAGTATTTTAAATAGCCACTTAAAAGCTAAAATATGCTGTCCGCATATGTGGCCACTAAAGCCCTAGGAGGTTAAGTTAACTTTGTGTTGGGACAGTATAAAGGAATTGTGTGGAACCAAGCATTTTTTACAGTGTACAATCGTCTAGGATGCTAGTAAAAAATGCATTAAAACGTGTACTACTTGTGATAAGCTGAATGGCTTTAAAAAGCTGTTCTTGAAAAAGAAGTGATTTCTTTTAAAAAGATCCTTTAAGTTCCTTTGACCTGTCATGACAACCAGCTATGTTTTCCCCCAGTCAAGTAGCTCATGTAGGACAATGTGACACTATCAGATAATATTTGATGTCAAATATAGATTATTGTGGAATGGGATTTTTCAGCCAATCAGATTGCACTGTGGGCAGGACTATTCAGTGCAACACTATAAATAGAAATGAAGTGATTGACAAAATCTCTCACAGACTAAATACCAAGGTGACTTCTGTGCTGATTATTACAAAAACTTCAGATTTAAATTTTTTTTTTTTTTAGAGTTTTTATCAGACGATTAACATTGACGGTTGACTGCATCCACGTCCCTTGATCTTAATATATCATGATCAACAAACCACCCTCCATTAGTACATAACCTAAAACCTGCTGAGCTTGTTAGAACACTTAGAAACAGAAGCAGTAAATCTACATGTTGGATGTTCAAGCCTTTTTTTCCTCTTCCACTCTTCGACAAATGTAAAGGCCCATAGAAAAACAAGCCACAAGCTGTCACTATTTTACCCTTGAACACTGAGTATATGGTAGATATATGTTTAAAGGTTTTGTGCTCACAACTGTAGAGGACCACATGCCATGAATGACTGGTAGAGGTTGTTATGGTGGTCTTATACTACAAAAGCACTTGTTTAAGATGCAGTGTGTGAACCAGTAGAGTTACTGGAATGCTACTTACCTTATAGCAAGTCAGAGTTATTGCTTTAGAGTTCACTGAAGTATTGATTTGTATCTATTAATAATTCTGCATCTGATTAAAAACATTTTGCACTTTGCATTTGGTACATTTTGACTTGTAATATTATCAGGTTTACTGGATTCATTAGGCATGGATCTGAGTAAAATGTTTGTTTGTTGTATTCTTCAAGGGCCTGATATTTCTGATGTTTATTGACGTTTCAGAATAAAAATATTGTCATAAAGAGCTCCTTTTTTATTTGTTTTGTTTGAAATCAAGTGTTGTTTCACCGAATATTGACCAGTTATATTCTAAAGTAAAAACATTGGTATCTTGTTGTTTAGAAATGAATATAAACACATGTGAAAACATGGAAAATATCTGAAAATATCTTTTTGTGTGTGTGTGTTTTTTTTTGTTTTTTTTTTTGTTATGTATGCAAACAAAAGTATTTTTTATTATTTTCAAACCATGTATATTAAAACTTTGAAGGAATACTATCGATAGTTTTAAAGTAAAACAAAAAATATTTTTATTTATTATATTTGTAATAGTGCTGGGAAAAAAATGAATTGCGATTATTACATGGAAAATAAAAAATAATTGTGTGTGTGTGTGTGTGTGTGTGTGTGTGTGTGTGTGTGTGTGTGTGTGTGTGTGTGCTTTGTATGTTTACTACACACATGTATGCATATATTTAAAAAATGTTTATTTATATTTAGATATAAAATACATATGTATATGATACTAATTATATGTAAATGTAAATATTTCTGCAAAAAAAAGTTTAGAAAACACACCCATCTCATGTCAAAACAAACTTGTATTTAGAATGTGATTAATCATTGGCCAGCACACTTTTTTTTTTTGTGGTTTCCCTTATTTTTTTATTGTAAGAATGTTTGACAGCATGTCCTCATATTTCTTATGATTTGCATGTGATTCCGACTGTTTTTAATGAGTGAATGAGAAGGACAGTGCAAATAATGGCATCCATAATGCACTTTATACATTGATATAAGCAGTTACTGTATGTTTTTCATAATAATGTAAGTGCATTTCACGTTCTCATACACTCAACTCCACTTTCTTTGTCTGTTTTTTTTTTTTCCAGTCTCAGCAGGTCACACCCACCACAACATCTCAGGTCTCCACAGTGAAACCTGCACAATATGAGGTAAAGGAGCTCTCATTTCATCTTAATTTGTGTGATGGAAGCACTTATTTTTCACAAAATGAGATATTTTTATTAATCTCCCATGTTGTCCATGCTGGATGTTGGTTGTCATCTACTTTCCTTCTTTTTTTGAGTCTTTTGTTGTCCAATGTTTTGCAAGAGAGACAGCAGTGTGTGGTCTTGGTAAATGAGAACTGAAAGAATATTTAATCCATTCAGATCAAGTGTTTAAGGTTGTAAAATCTGAAAAGCTACTTTATTGTATTGCTTCATGGTTACATTAATAGCTGTGATCATGTGCATACTGTATAGTTTGAATTGGTAATTGTAGTAAGAATTAAAGAAATTATAATATCTTCATAATGGAATTGCATTTAGAAAGAATTTGCAATTGATAGTATGAAAGAAAACATGGTGGTTTGTATATAAAGCAAAAATAACAGCGAATGTTTTTAAATATTCTTAGCTGTGAGATGAAAAAAATTTATATTAATTTAGATATTTTAGTAACATTTACATTTTTTAATAAATAATATAATATAATATAATATAATATAATATAATATAATATAATATAATATATCAAATTTAATTCAAGACAAATATTTTATTGTTTTTAATAATGCATGAAATCAAAATATGGGTAAAATATTGTTACATAGTCAATCATGATAAATGCATATTCTGACCTGAATGTATTAAAATATATAAAGAAGTAAACAAATAAGTGACCATGCTAAAACATGTTTGTATGTTTATAGCTACACTCACCGGCCACTTTATTAGGTACACCTCTCCAACTGCTTGATGCAAAGTTCTAATCAGCCAATCACATGGCAGCAGCTCAATGCATTTAGGCATGTAGACATGGTCAAGACGATCTGCTGCAGTTCAAACTGAGCATCAGAATGTGGGAAGAAAGCTGATTTAAGTGACTTTGAATGTGGCATGGTTGTTGGTGTCAGACGGGCTGGTCTGAGTATTTCAGAAACTTCTCATCTACTGAGATTTTCATCCATCTCTAGGGTTTACAGAGAATGGTGAGAAAAAGAGAAAATATCCAGTGATCAAAATCATTTGATCCCTACAAATTATTTCCAATATGAGTAAATGCTGCAGAGTTAACACTTAACTCTGGCCTTTTTGTTAAGCTGATCAGAAAAGTGGCAATTGAGGCAGTCACCATCTGTCCATTGTTCATCCGAAGGACAAAGGTGTTAAGAGCCTAGAACTTGCAAAACGGCTTCTTGATCTAATCAACACACTACATCGTTTCAGACACAGAGAGACACGTGGATCACAATCTTCCATCTCACAAAAGGGAGGCAAAATGGAATATTTCACTTTCATATACTTTTAGATTAATATGATCATGTATATATTTAATTTGCACTGCTTGAAATACTCCAGTGTATGAAACTTTGCTTATTAATGTTTATATATGAATGCTTAGGTAAAGATCAACATTACATAGTGATGTTATATATAATATATATAACTCTATATTTTGGAAACAATGCCTTGGGCAAATTAGATATGGTTTGGAAAGTAAATTATGCATAGGAAAATATTTAGGACTCTTAAATATAATAACAGTTTAACTGTGGACTATGACTAGTCACACTATGGATGACACCTTTCAGTGACCAACTCATCCAATCACAATGCTTCTTTTCAATCCCGCCTACCAGAGAAAGGATTAAAACATTCTCTCAAAAAAAAGGAGGATGTGTGGTGGTATCAGAAAGTGTGTTGGTAATAGAAGGAAGAGAGTAACACGTGGAGGTGATACATGGTGTGTGGTGGTGCCACACAAGGCTATCCAAATTGCTCAAAGACTTCAGAACTTGCTGCATGCTCCAGCAAAGAGTTGTTCATTGGATTCACAGTGCTTTTCCCAAGGCATCTTTAACCACCACTTCAGGACTACTACCTCCAGAAATCGGAGTGTCCCAGATTTCTAGGAGCTCTACATTCAAGGATAAAGACGTCAGCGTGTCCCCGACATCACAACCACTACCTCCAGAAATATTCAGTTCTGGGTGTTCCAGAATCTCCACAATTCTTCTTTTCAAAGCTCAAGAGAGCTAAGTCTGCTCGTTCCATGCCTCAAGACCTGCAAGAAGATCCAGCTTCTTTAAACTAATGCATCAACGGCAGAAAAATATATTACTTAGATAAACCTTGGCATAGTGTGTTTCAGTACAAAATACTTTAGTTAATTCAATATTTGTAAGTGCTATTCATAATAATAAAAACTTCCTCAGTCCTTCGTTATTTTAGAATAAGGTTTACCTTATCAGACTCCAGTTTGTCTTTAGAAAAGATAACAGAGTTATTAATCACAATCTTCAATCTACCTTCATGACTCTGAGCCTTTGCACTTCATTTATTGTACATTTAGTAATTTTAGTTACCCTAGCTTATTCTTTTGTTACTAAATACTTGTTACAATTGTGTCTTCCTTGTGTTGATAAAACAGTAAAATGCTCTACGATCTAAGTCAGACGATCTAATTATCCTTTACAGGGTGTTCGCGGGATTTTAAAAAGTCTTAAATTTACAAAAATATTGTGTTGTAGCTCTTAAATAATTTTAAACCGGTCTTAATTAAAAAAAAAAAAAAAAGTTGTACCAATCAGGCTGACAGCCATCTAATCACCAACAATCTGTCTAAATAATTTATAAAAACCTATTTATAATAAGTTTTTTATTGCAGAGATGTTTATTTCACAAAAAGCTGTTTGACATTTTTACAGCACTATTTTGTGAAATTAAATTCCCTAATCCGGAAAAGAAAACTAAAGAAAATTACCCAATTCCTCATGATAATAACAGCTATAGTCCCATACATTATCTTCCATTTACACAAAAACTTTTTACAGAAGAAAGTGAGTGGACATAATATTTATAAATAAGCATGAAACTGCAGGTTTTATAACAGATTTGCATTAGGTCGAATAGGATTCATACTGAATTCATTTGCACCTAAAGCAAACAAAAATATATTTTTTGATTATACTTGTAGTTTTCTTCATTATAAATATACTTTTAACAATGTAAAACTTGTCATTTAAAAAAAAAACATTGTTAAAAAAATAGTCATCTAGTTTTCTTGTTTTGACACATTAAAATATGGTAAAGAATGTTAAAGAAATAACTACATTAGTTTTTTTCCAAATCCATTAGTCCAACCAGGCCATTACAAAAAATCCTTAGTGTTTAGCCTCGTATAAGTCTAAAATCTCATTCATAATGGTCTTAAAAGGGTCTTAATTCTAAAAGTCTTAAGTTTGACTCGATGAAACCGATGAAATGAGTTATTTATGTGTTATTACTGCATTATTTTGTGCCCTACAAGAGGCTAAAATATCAATATTACTATCAATACCAAAATATTGATGTTAATATTTGTCAGAGATGGCAAAAGTACACACATGCTTTACTCAAGTAGAAGTACAAATACTAAAATGACTCAAGTAAAAGTAAAGAAGTACGGCCTGAAACATGTACCTAAGTAAAAAGTATTCATTATTATATCTGTTTAAGTTTAACGGTGGTAACTACATCGCACACCATGTATACATCTATACAAAATAGCTTAAATTTAAAATATTTTCAGCCGGAAATTAGCTAATTAACTAATTATATAATAGCTAATAATAGCTAATTATTATACAATATTATCCAACAACAAGTTGCCCTATGTATTATCACTTGGACACAAAACTTAACAATATGGCTTTAAAAATAAAAGCTGCCATGCTGGTTTATATACTCTAAAACATAATTCTGAAGGCTGCCTATATTTTATAAATTAGGCCTAATAACTGTCTTCAATTTAACACTTAATTTTCTCAAAACATATTTCATTTTTTTTTTGATAACATAAAAAACTTAAAAAGGTGTTCAAATTGCGCAATGACTAAATTACATAGATTGCGCTACCAAACACATGAAAATAAAAGTAATGAGTCTGATTTAAAAATGTAAGGAGTAGAAAGTACAGATATTTGTGTAAAAATGTAAGGAATAAAAGTAAAAAAAGTTGTCAGAAAAATAAAGAGTGGAGTAAAGTACTGATACCAGAAAAATCTACTTTAGCACAGCAACAATGTTTTTGTTCTTCATTACTTTTCATCTCTGATATTTGTGATTAATCCGATCATCACTACACTTGAATCTATGCCACAAAGGATTAAAGCAGTTCTGAAGGCAAAATGGGGTCCAACACTGTACTAGTAAAGTGTACCTAATAAAGTGGCCGGTGAGCATATGTGTTTATGAATGTGTATATATAATATATTACTTGCCCTTTATTGATACAAAATGATTGTCCTTGAGAATCTAAGTGACTAGAAAAACTCAGTTTAGCAACAATATGCCTAACATGTTTTTAAAGTAAAAACTGAAGGCTTCTTGCTTGTATAAAAGACAATATTCACACTTTCAGACTTTCACAATATTTGTGGGTGGGTGCTTGAAGGTTGCTATGCACTTGGTTTAACAAGCACCATCAATAAAAGCTACTGGAGGACCAAAATAACCACAGAAAAGAAGAGAAACGAATACAAAGGCGTCTTTATGCACTTCTTCTCCTTCACTAAAACTCTTAGAAAACTTTGTTAACAGCTTTTAGAGACTATTTGCATGTTATCAGACATGTTTCTGAGTGTTTTTCTTTTGCCTGTGGACAATCATGTTTCAGCATGGGATATTTGGTTGTGGCAGGACATGGTGTCTCCCACAAGAGCCCTATGACTCACTTTCCTGAATCTGTTACTGGAGCTGGAGTTTGCTTTTCAGTTGCTTGCAACTGCTGTGTTTATGTCATTGTTTAATGCATGTTCTTTCCCAAAGCCCCCCTCATTGAAAGTTAGTTCATGTCCTCTTGTTACAATTAAGCTGATGCCGGAAGCAGTTTCAGATCTCACTAAATCTTTCTGTCTATCTGTCTGTCTTGAGTCAATTTGCTGAATCATAAGAGGAATCATATATTGCAAAGCATTAATGCTAGTTTGCAGTTTGTTAAGGCATGCTAGAAATGTTCTAGTTTTAGAAATGTATCTAAAACATGTCAGCAGTGTTTTAAATCAATGGCAGAAACATGTTAGCAGTGCGTTAAATCATGCTAGCAATTTCTATTTAAATATAGCTGTGTTAGCAGTGTTTAGTCACACTACCAGTGTTTTAAGTTTGCTATGTTTGTGAAAAGTAATGCTAGGACTGTTAAATAATCTTAAAGGCGCTATCAACATAATTAATGCTTACAGTGTGCAAAATCATGTTAGCGACATGCTAAACATATTTGCAGAGTTAGTCATGTGTGTATCCTGCTAGCTATATAATTAAACATTACCAAATTCCACACCTCGTTAGTAGGTTAAAACATGTTAAAATTCTTACTCAGAAACAAGCTTGCAATTGACTGTTATGTTCTTAGTGATTAATAATGCTAGAAAATTCCTGTCAGTGTGTAAAAACATGCTAACAGTGAGCAAATCATGCTACCGACATCATGATTGACAACATGATAAACATTAGCATTGGTAAACTTTGTTAGAAAGATTCTAGCTCTAAAAATAAAACATAAGCAGTGTGCACATCATGTTAATAAGATCTTAAAACATGTTACCAACGTATATCATGTTAGAAACAAGAAGTCAACTTTAATGTTCTTGTGTGTGTGCTAAACATCCTATCAGTGTAGCAAAACCTGTGAACAGAGGGACAACATCATGCAAACAACATGCTAAAAAGTGTTAGCAATGTGCTAAACCATTTCTATTTTATAAGCATGCCAGCTATAAAATAAAATACATTTAGCAGTGTGTTAAATCATGTTGAAAATATACACATTTATTGAAGCATTATATTAATGTGCTTAATCACACTTCCATTGTTAAGCATGCTATGTATGTAAAAAGCCATGCTAGCAATATGTTATACATGCTATCAATGTGATTAATGTTACCAGTGCAAAATCATGTTAGCGACATGTTAAAAATATTAGCAGTGTTAATTCTTCATGTTAGAAACAAGCTAGCAATCAGTTAAATAATCCTAGAAACATTCTATCGGCGTGTTACATGTTAACAGTGGGCAAAATTGTGCTAGCAACTTGTTAAAAATATGTAGCAGTGTGTTAAAGTGCTAGAAATTTTTGTGATTGGCTAAAACATTCTAGCACTGTGCCTACTGTTGTATTACAACACATTTGAAACATGCTATCAATGTGATCAATGTTAGCAGTGTGCAAAATCATGTTAGCAACATGCTAAACATATTAGCAGGGTTAACTCTTCGTGTTAGAAACAAGCTAGCAATCAACTGTTATGTTCTAGGTTTGTTAAATAATCTTTGTAAATAAATCCTTAAATAATCTTGTTAAATTTTAACAGGGCAAAGTCATGCTAGCAACATGCTAAAATATGTTAGCAGTTTGTTATAGAAACATTTTTGTTATTGGCTAAACCATTAGCAATGTCATGCCTACTGAAATATTAAAACACATTTGAAACATGCTATAAATGCGATTTATGACACTATGCAGTGTGCATAATGTTAGCAACATGCTGAACATATTAGCAGTCTTTACTCTTCATGTTAGAAACAAGCTAGCAATCAACTGTTACGTTCTAGTTGTGTTAAACAATCCCAACGTCATTCTAGCAACATGCTAAAATATGTTAGCAATGTGTTAAAGTGTAACATTTTTGTTATTGGCCAAAAACATTCTAGCAATGTTCCTACCAATGTATTAAAGCACATTTGAAACATGCTATCAATGTGATTAATGTTACCAGTGTGCAAAATCCTGTTAGCGACATGCTGAACATATTAGCAGTGTTAACTTCTCTTGTTAGAAACAAGCTAGCAATCAACTGTTACGTTTTAGTTGTGTTAAATCAGCCTAGAAACATTCTATCAGTGTGTTACATGTTAACAGTGGGCAAAGTCATGTTAGCAACATACTAAAATTAAAACATTTTAGCAATGTATTTTCATCCCTATCAATGTATTAAAATGCTAGCAGTGCATTAAGTCATCTCTTTAACTTTTTTACCATTTCAAATTAACAGGCCAGACTTTCTAAAACCAACATCAAAGATTGTCTACCAACTTTACTATCTACTTAGTCCTGATATCTTGGCTTCTCTCTCTTCCCGATATTTTCCTATCTCTACTCACTAAGCAGACTCAGGCCCAAAATAATGGGTTTTAAACATGATTGACATTCTCTGCATTGTAGAAAGGAGCTACACAATCGTCTACAGCAGCTGCGACTGTCAAATCCGGCGCTGGAGATCCTGCAACCACCCAGAAAGGATCTTCTCAAGTCAAACCTCAGGTAGACACCATCCGTCTACAGGATTTATCGGCGTATGGGCTTCTTTACATCTACCTCACGCTGGTTTTCATCAGCCACGCTACACTACTGTTTCGCCTTTCTATCCTAACCAATCCTGCTTTCATTCTTGGTTGACTTTTTTGGTGAACACTAACACAACACTTTTGGGGTTGTCTTTGTTTTTCATAACATCTGGAACACATCTGTGGGAACAAACATCTCTCTGTATGCCGGAGTTTTTTGGTTGTTTGTTATTTGGGTCTCTCTCAAACGCTGACCACATTCATGACATTTCGGTGCTGCCTCAGGAAACGCGAAATCTTTCTTCTGCCATTTTGAAACTAAACTTGAAACAAAACCATCTGCATACCGTCTTCATTTGGTGCCATTTTTCACTTTATCTTACAGCTTTTCATGTTTACTTTGACCTGGTTAAAGAAACTAGGTTCCACTGCAGTTTCCTCATCACTTTCCCAGCAGAGCAGAAGACATGTCTTGCAAATGTGTTAACCTTTTCTCATGGGATTGACACATTTTCCCCAACATTTTCAAAACCGTTAACATGGATGTCATTCAAGCAGTCCAAACCCCATTGTTTTAGCTATGGAAAACAAGTAGAACCACCATTAGAAACTACCAAGATTAGTATAAAATCTCTGAATCACCAGTTTGAGACTCCTTCATACAAATTTTCAATGAGCAATCAGTCTGCGAACCTCATAAAAAAGGTGGTAGTTCTATATTCTTTGCCAGCATGGATGGAGGAGTTCAATAGTGGCTATATGTCTTATACTTCCGATAAATTTTACTGTATCTTGGTTAACATGTGTTTTTTGTAATGTTTACAGTATGTAATTGGGTTCTTTTTGTTTATTTTTTTACAGTATTTCAGTTTTCAGCCACAGTTTTAAAAAATGTCATGAATTCAGCACAATTTTAATCAAAGCATTTCTTATTTTGGATCCAATTATCTGCAAAAAGGCTAGTTTGACAAAGCCTATATAGAAAGACAACAAACGGCACTGGCAATAGACTACAATGTCAAGCAATGGTGCACTGATTCACACTGAGTTCTGTATTTTGTTGTCCATTGTGTAATGATCGATTGAAATAGCTCATTTGCTTATTCGCAAGTTGTGTGAAGGCATATTTGTTGCATATTTTAAATGTTTTTGCATAGTTAGAGCCTTTTTTAAGCTAAGTGTGTCATTTTGACCATAAGTGCTGCTGTTTAGGCCTGTGTTTTAACTGTTTTGAAAACGTGGAGTTTCATTTGACAGCTGCTTCAAAGCAATCAAGAAAAACTGTAATGTTTAGAGTGCATCTTGAGTATGCGCTGTATTACGGTCTCACTCTTGCATACTGATCGCAGGTCACAGATTCTAAATCAACACCTGCATCTTCTGCTAAAGTCTCAGCTGTGAGCTCTGGGACTGGAGTTGCTGGTACAACCGGTGGAGCAGGAGTGAAACCAGCAGATCCTGCAAAAGATACGCCTCAGGTACACTAAGGTCACCAATGGATTTTTTTCCTGTCTACTCAATGAGACTTCATCAACATTTCATGATCATCTTCTGCCATGCAATTCCATTTTCTTCATAAAATATCTTTGGAGGGATAGTGCCACTTTAGCATTCTCACTCTTTGGTTAGCATCTTCATGGCGTTCATCAGGACTTCTGATTCTTTTCGCTCTTTTGGCTGCTCCATTTCGCTTGTGAACTTCATTGAAAGTTGGTGTTAATGCTCGAATATGTGGCTTTTGATAGAGCACCACCATTCCTTCAACCAAACTGGGACCTGCTAAGGTGGATCCGGCTGCTGGGAAGCCCTCTGGCTCAGCTGGTGCCCAAAAACAGACAAGTGCTCAAAAGGTATTAATAGAGTAACAAAGGATCATCAGGATGGGAGTGGACAAAAGTTCTGTTAGCGTTAATGTTTTAACCCTGTATTGTCATATAGTAAATGTGCAAAAGGGAGAGAGTTGTGCTTGAAGAAGCACTCAAGCTTTTATAATGGGATTTTAATGTCTTTTAAAAGTCCTTTTATCATTTTTTAATGATAAAACAGCTATCAGCAAAGTTCAGCTTCATGCATTTCAGAGTACATGTACATTGATTGTTATCATGCTCAAAAAACAGTTGTGTTGATTATTGTTTTCATTGAAACTTTTTTTTTTTAATTCAGGAGTTTTCAGGATTTGAATGTTCTAAACCTATTATGTATCATCCTTTATTTTACCCCTAACCAACACAAAAAGTACCTAAGATTTTAATCTGCAAATAGACATCTGTAAGACTTCAAAAAAGTTTCCCCCATCATATATTCATGTATTTTATTTAATTATCATTATGTTTAAAACGTGTATAAATAAGTGTAAGGGAAACTGTATTTTATATTAAATTGTACTGAGTGTTTTTGTTGTATTATTTTTTATGGATAAGAGTAAGGAAAATTGTATTTTAAGTATCATGTAGTATTTTAATGTAGTATTTTATAAGTATAAGGTGTCATTTATTTATTCATATTTTTGAATTTTTTATTTTTGTGACAACTTGTAATCATTCACTTAACAAGCTTATACTGTATATAGTGTCAGTGTATACCACACCACACTATGGCCACACTATGGTAAAAAGACATAAATCATCTTCAAAAGCTGTTGATTTAATACAACAGCTTACCTTGATGTCTTGTCAATTTATTAAAAACATTTGACTTAAAGAGAAAAATGTGTGCTGTCTGAGAATGTTTCAGTAGTCTAGCCAGACCATGTGTGTCTGCACGTGTACATAATAAAAGTCCTTTTGTTTTTACTGCAGGTGCAGGTTGAAGTGGGTCCTTCAGCAGCAAAAGTCAGTGCAGATGTGAGTTTACCAGCTTTTCTCTTTGTGGTTTCTGGTGTGTGGTTATCAGATTTATGTATTCACAGAGTTTTCTTTTATGTATGTGTAGGCTGACGATCCGTTTGATGCCCTGTCTGGCACATTACCATCATCACAACCTTTGGCTCCTAAAGTCCACTACACTGGACCTGAGATCAAAGAGGTAAAGCAAGGGTGTAGATATTTAGATAACTGTGTATTCAAAACTTAAAAGTCGGCATGAGATCAGAATGGACAATTCTTATTTTATACAGACTGCAATATTGCTTAAATAAATATAAAATTCCAGGGTAAGCTGTTGTCCAACTAGCTTCTTATCTATTGAGGAAACTTGAGGAATATTCATTGAGTTTACTGACAGAACTGAACCTGTTAATCACATGCAATCCACCAGAACTTGGGCAAAAAAATCTCACATCATGATTTAAAGGGTATCTATTATGCAAAAATCACTTTTAAATGGAGTTCAAACACGGTTGTGTGGCTACAGTTTGTGAACTTAATTTAAATTTTTTATAATCACACCTAGTAAAAACTGTCTCAGAAACACTTTGATTGACATTCTCCCTTTGTATATGTCATCAGAGGGGGAAAAACCCATCCCTCATTATCATAGGACATTAGTCTTGTTTTGAATCTGCCATCTAAAAGACCAATTATTTTCACATTTTCAAGTGCAAACCCAAAGCGTGCACAATCATATCTGATTATTTTTCACACTTTATTTAGAAATTCTGGCAAATGTTTGATTAAGTTTGATTATTTATAAAAAAATAAATATTAAAGTCTGCATGAAATAATCAAAAAGACAATGTAAATTTTTGCAAGCACATACTGTAAAAAATGCTGGGTTCCACACAATCGATTTGACAACATGAAGCAATTAAGTTAGCTAATTAGTTTTTGCAAATTTAAGTTCATTGAACATAAAAAAAATTAGGTTGTTGCAAAAAGAATTGGGTTTAGCTCATTTTAGTAGTTTGAACAAACTTCAAACATCATTTTTTTGAGTGGACATTGTTAGTCTTAAAGGGGTTGTTAACTCTGTCACAATTCTGTCACAATTCCCTTCACTTGTTCCTAACCTGTTAGGGTTTCTTTCAGACAGCTGAAAACCGATAACCATCAACTTCTATAGTATTTGTTTTTCCTACTAAGGAAGTCAATGGTTACAGGTTTTCAGCTTTCTTCCAAATGACATATTTTGTGTTCAATAGAATAAAGAAACTAATAAAGGTTTGAAACCACTTGTGGGTAGGTAATTTTTAATTTTTGGGTGAAATATGCCTTTAAAGTGAACAATCAATCCATGCAAGGTAATCCACTGAAAAAAAGTATTTTTTTTTACGTAAACAATGTTCAATCAAGCTTGTGACTATCTCACCATGCTGTTATTCATGTTTTTGTGGTGGTAAGGTTGGATTAATACACATAAGAAAATCATGTATTATAGTAAGCAATGTATTTTGCGACAATATGAAATGAACAAGGGATAGTGTGAACTATATATCCATGTGATATATATTGTCATAATGTACCAGAATCATTTTTCGAACCGTCCAATCGATTCCTAAGGGTCAAAATTAAGTTCCTCCCTACACTACAGTACTTTTTTCAGTAACACTGTCACAATTCATGCTATTAACTAATGGCTTAGTATTATTATGATATTAACTTCATTAATAGTTATAAAGTATGATCTTATTCAGCATTCCTAATCCTGCCCATAATCTTATCCCAAAATTTATCTTATTAATTATTAATAAACAGATAATTAGTAGTTAATTAAGCTAGTAGTGTTGTTTAATGGTTTGTTTATACCTTGAATTGTGACATACAGTGTTACCCTTTTTTACTTGTTCAAGAAGCCTTTTCACTTAAATATACATCACTATATAAATACTATCATGATTTCCTTCTCCTGCCGACTTTTAAGGAATAATTTTAGCATGTGCATTCTCATTGTGTTTTGCTACGTGTGTTTTCTAATGGATTGCAATGCATGTCTCAGCCCAAACTGAAATCAGAGAAAGGTGTTTTGTGTGGTGAGCGAGATGACACGCTGCCGCCCGGATACAGAAAGGAAGACCTGGTCAGTTGGAGATCATACATATTCTCAACGTTTGCCTTTTTTTCTTTCATCTTAAAGGAAGAGTTCAACCAAAAACAGAGAGTTCAGCTGTAATGCATGAAACACAAAATGAGGACTATTGATAAACACACATTTTTTCATGCAGCTGCAATTAAGTGACTGATGCTTTAAGATTTAAAATGGACATAAAGGCACATAAAAGTAATGAATATAGTCACAGAAAGGATATGTGCGTGTATTCTTTCTGTAAACATACAGTATTATATTTTTGGGTGAACTGATCCTCTAAAAGGCGGTTCATTCCACTTTGGCGACCCCTGATAAGTAAGGGACTAAGCCAATGGAAAATAAATGAATGAATGATCCTCTAAAAACTAATGTCTAAAGATCTTTAAAGAGGATATTTTGAAGAAAGCTGAAAACTGGTAACCATCAATTTCCATATTAGTTTAATTTTTTTATACTATGGAAGTCAATGGTTACAGGTTGTCAGCTTTCTTCAGAATAACTTATTTTGTGTTATAAAAGAAACTCGCACAGAACAGTGGTATATTTTGGGCCGAACTGTTCCTTTAAAATTAATTTCTACTCTTTTCCAACATTCCTGTTTTGTTTTTGTTGTTGTCTACAACAGTGTTTCTCAACCACGTTCCTGGAGGACCACCAACGCTGCATGTTTTGGATGTTTCTTTTGTCTGTCACATTCATTACAGATCTTTCAGTCTCTAATAGTAAACTGATGATCTGAATCAGGTGTGTTTGGTTAAGGAGACACGGAAAACATGCAAAGCTAAAGGTCCTCCAAGAACGTGGTTGAGAAACACAGTCTGCAATACCTCAAATAATATAAAAAAAATAGACTTTTATTGAATATCATTAGTGTGTGAAAGTCATTAAGGGGGTGTTCACACTTGGCAGGTTTGGTTTAAATACAACAAACTCTGGTGCTATTTGTTTTGTTCTTTCGTTTCTTCTGAAACAACACAAACACTGCGACAATAAGCAGATGAAGAAACTGGAATTAATTCTAGTGTAATTTGAGTGAATTATGAAATGCAACACAGACATATGACATTTAAAAACAACCAAAAAACAGTACATGGCATCGCAATAGGACAAAATGCACAAGCACAACTGGTTGTTCCCGTCATTATCATGATGTTGCCCATCACAGTTCAATATAGATGTCAGCAACAGGTCCTTTTTGTTGCAGATATTGAATTTTGTGTGTGACTTTTTAATTAGGGAAGGTTTTAAAAATGTGTTAAGGTGTTGAAACATGGCTGCATGGTGGCTTAGTGGTTAGCACTGTCGCCTCACAGCAAGAAGGTTGCTGGTTCAAGTGCCAGCTGGGCCAGTTGGCATTCCTGTGAGGAGTTTGCATGTTCTCCCCATGTTGGCGTGGGTTTCCCCCACAGTCCAAAGACATGAGCTATAAGTAAATTGAATAAAACTAAGTTGGCCGTAGCGTATATGTGTGAATGTGAGAGTGAATGGGTGTTTCCCAGTACTGGGTTGCAGCTGGAAAGGCATTTGCAATGTAAAACATATTCTGGATGAGTTGGCGGTTCATTCCGCTGTGGCGAGCCCTGATAAAATAAATGAATGAGTCGAAACATTCTTTGATACAAATGTTATGTATACACATACCCTGAACACCTTTAGTTCAACACACAGCATTATTTTGAATGAAAATCCCACAATCTGTTTGTGTTTTTGTTTGCTGCTCTGTATCCTTCAGGACAGTCTCTAAACTGCACGTTTTGAAGTATAGCACAAGAAGCGAGTGATGGAAATGCAAGATTCTGAAAAAAACAAATTCACAAAAAAGGGTTTACACTCACTTGAGGTGGTTTGAGACTTGTGTGAAAAAGAGTTAATGCTAATATTGTGAGATGGAGACACATGTGAATAGTTTGACTAATCAGTTGTCTTCATTAAGCTTGGCTTGTTTACTATTGGTTGCTAGGTTACCAATACTACTATGAGCCACTCTAACAGCTTTATGGAAACGCAACTAAATGCTAATTTATACTTCTGCGTTGAGTGATCTGCATGACCCACGGTGCCTGCTCTTTGCCTGCAGTGTATTTATACTTCTGCGTGCTGTTTGTGTTACTCTGCAATAACACTTGCGAAACGCTAGCTGGCAGTAGGATTTTATGTTTCTCTGTGTCGAGTTTCTTTGTGGGTGTTTTGTTTTTTCTGAACGGTACAAGTAGATAAAACTTGCTTAATCAGAGGCGGGAACCGGCATACGTGCAACAACTTTAATCATAAGGTAAAAACAAAACAAAAGTTTCCATCTGGAGCTTCTCCACGGGACTCAACACTTGTAAACAATCGCTCTATTGGGCTTGCGGCTTGCAGCTTTCAGCACCGCCCACACTCTTCACCGCTACCAACTCAACCAACCACAGAGTTTGTGCTATGCGTCGTTGGGACATGTCATTACATTTATTGAGAGGTGCGCGTCAGCATCGGCTTCAGCCACAGCGAGGGCTATGCGACCGCTCAATGGCTGCACTCGACCATACGCGTGTGCTTGATGCAGAAGTTTAAATCAGCTTTAATTCACTTTTTGGATTTTCCTTCTTTATTTTTTGTGAATTTTCAAATTATTTGCTTTATGTTAGGATGGAAACTTGGCTAATGTGAACACTAAGCGACTAAATGCAGCATTTTATTTTTGGTCCAGATCCAACAATCAAATCACAAGTGTGAACACACCCTAAGATTTTCAGTATGTTTCTTAATCCTAAGTGATTGTTATCAAATGAGCTGGTTTTTAGTCAGTACTGTATTTTATCAAGCTTTGAGTATAACCACTGTTTACTTGTCTGTTCAGGAAAAGAAGCATGGAGCTGGAGTTCCAGCTGGAGTTCCGGAGAAGCCTAAAGAAGTTCCCAAGGTAGGAGATCTGTGGAGGCCTGTGCTGTTGTTTTTAGCTTTTTTTTCTAATCATGTGACTCCCTTTCTTCCAGTTCACAATCATCTGCTGTGTATGGTTTACATATTATTGTGCATTGAAAAATACATTCATAATAGTTTAATTTTAGTTTGGTCTTTTAAATGTGTGCTAACAGTATGTACCTGTATACACACACACACACACACACACACACACACACACACACACACATGTGCACACATATAAAAATGAAGAGACCACTTCTCTTTATACGTGACCTGTAGTTTGAGTAAAATGTTGACATTTGCTTAAATCTATAAAAATCTATAACAAAAAAATCTATAACATTGCTTTCAAGTCTTAAATGTAAATAGTTCAGAATAATACATATAAATTTGGAATTCTTGGTTATTCCACCAAATATTTATTTCTTAAGCATTTCTGGAGTTAAAACACTAGTATTTTGTTGTTTTACTTTCGCTGTGTTATGCCTTATTTATCAGGGGTCGCCACAGCGGAATGAACCACAAACTGCTCCAGCATATGTTTTACACAGCGTATGCCCTTCCAGCTGTCTTTTTGACAATATTTGCATTTTTAATATAGGAGAAAAGTCATCAGTGGTTTACAGAATAATACAAATATATTTAACTCAAACTATAACTCATATAACATATAATTTCCCATAGCTACATTTCATAGCTACATAGCTTACGGCTAATCATAATTGCTGCTTAAAAACCATAAAGGAGCCCCATATTTTATAATTATTGTTATTTGTGTCTTGCTATGATGGCTCATAACATTATTATTCATCCATGTATATTACCATTATATTTCCTGTCTCACTCACAGCTTCTCTTTCTTTTTTTTATTTCCATTTCAACGCCAAACATTTAGCTTGCTTTAAGGGTGTTGGCTAGCAAACAGAAGCAAACACAAATGCATCAGTCATTCACATTGACAACGAATTGTTGCGTAATCAGCACACACACACAACTAACCTGTGCTGTATTTCACTAATTTTGTGTGTAAATCTGTGTTAACACCCATCACATTCAGTTCTGAGTATTATCATCACCGTCTCATCATTTTCTGCATAATTACCGATTGTTTTGGCTTGGCTGGTCATAGTGAGCTTTGATTATTCGTCTCGTGTTTGTTGTATAAGTTAAAAGTGTGTTATTAATGTCGATGTCTCTTGGTATGCAGCGGGTGTGTCTGTACTTTTCCTTCCACGGCTTGTGCTGCTGTTTCGCATTACACACTGAGCTTGAGTCTGTAGCCCCCTCTAATGGTCATTTTTTAGAATCACATCATTAGTTGGCCTTCAATTATATAGTCTTGTATTAATGTGTGATTTGTTTGTTGTTTTCCCAAAGCCCATAAGCACAGATGATGCACTGGAATCTCTCTCCTCTACGTTTGTGTCTCCAGCTCAAGCTGCTCCAAAGAAGACAGACGTGGTGAGTGTTCATTCTGAGCTTCTTAACTCTTTTCTTAAAGAGATAGTTCATCCAAATAGGACATTTTTGTCATTTACACATCCCTTAGAGCTGTTTCAGATTATTAAACACAAAAGAAGAGATATTAAATGATGCTGGGGGAGAACAGCCATTTACTTATGTAATATTCTTATAACCACTGAATATTTGTGACACTAATTTACGACTAGGAGAGGAGATTGCTAGTGATGGTTAACCTGTAATACGGCAGCACATTGTAGATTAAAGCTGGATGTTGTTTGGTATTCCCTGTCCATCTTCTTATTTAAGTACTGCACGCCCTGTGCAACTAATAAAACTAAACGCAGAACAAGACAACTTCCATTGTTTTTTTTTTTGCTATGGATGGCTGCTTATTCCCCCAACATTTTTCAGAATATCTTCTTTGGTGAACCACTTGAGTGTGAGGAAATGGTGAGGAAATGTTGATTTTTGAGTAAACCGTCCCTTGAAGTTAGGGGGGTTTGACATTTTTCATGCCACATATGCACTGTATTTATGATGATACAAAGAAGCTGAAATAAATACCCACATTTCTATGATTTTTTTTCTACATACTCCTAGTTTGTTTATATATTATTGTTATTATTATTATTGAAATATTGTTGTTATTGTTGTTGTTAATATTATTGTTGTTAGTGGTGGTAAAATAATTATTAAAATTTTAAAATAAACATGTTGCTTTATTATTATTGTAAGTATTTTTTATTACTATGAATAATGATATTAATATTTAATTTGCTATTAATTTTGTCTGTACTAAACATTCTGTTAATGGTAAATGTTTATAATTTTAGCTCATTTTAATATTTATTTTAATTGACAAATATTGTAATTTTTAGTTATTATATTATTAAATTGCCATAATATGAATATTATTAGGCGTCATGGTGGCGCAGTGGGTAGCATGATTGCCTTACAGCAATAAGGTCGCTGGTTCAAGCCTTAGCTGGGTTAGTTGGAATTTCTGTATGGAGTTTGCATGTTCTCCCTGTGTTTGCATGGGTTTCTTCCGGATGCTCCGGTTTCCCCCCACAGTCCAAAGACATGCGCTATTGGTAAATTGGGAGTGTATGGGTGTTTCCAAGTGATGGGTTGCTGCTGGAAGGGCATCCGCTGCGTAAAACATATGCTGGATAAGTTTGTGGTTCATTCCGCTGTGGCGACCCCAGATTAATAAAGGGACTAAGCCGAAAAAAGAAAATGAATGAATGAAAATTATTATAAAATGTATAATTATTCTTATTATTATTATTATTTTGCTTTATTGCATTTAATAAAAATAATCAATAACAAAAGCATATTTGTTTTTTATTATAATATCATTTGTGTACTATAAATTTAGTGAATTTTATTTACAGTTGAAGTCAGAATTATTAGCCCCTCTTTAATTAGTTTTTTCTTTTTTAAATCTTTCACAAATTATGTTTAACAGAGCAAGGAATTTTTCACAGTATGTCTGATAATATTTTTTCTTCTGGAGAAAGTCTTATTTGTTTTATTTTGGCTAGAATAAAAGCAGTTTTTAATAAAAAAAAAAACATTTTTAGGATCAAAATTATAAGCCTTTTATAAACCCTATTATTAAAACTATTATGTTTAGTAATGTGTTGAAAAAATCTTCTCTCCAATAAACCAAAAATGGGGGGAAAATAAACAGGGGTACTAATAATTTTGACTTCAGCTGTATACATATATTACTTTATTTTAAATCAAAAAAAGTAGTTTTAACAGTTAGATAATTTTATAAAGGATCTATGGTAACAGTCCATTCAGTTGTATGTTCGTATTCTTGACTAAATGTTTCTTTGTTTGACATGTGTTCACTTCTTCCCAGAAAACTGAAACAATAGGAGCAGTGGATGTTAAATCGGCAGGCACCACTAACTTTGCTCCCCCTCCACCATCTCAGCAGGTAACAACATTTTAAAACACATCGACAAAAACATCTGCATTAACATCAAAACTAAACATGTCTCTCTTTCTTTGAGCAGAAACAACCGGCGTCGTCTCAAGCTGCTGCTGTAACCAAATCACCTGCTCCACCGGCAGACAAGAAAGCTAAAATGGAGACTCATGCACAACCAGCCAAAGCAAAGACAGAGGTAAGTCAGAAAATCTAGCTCAAGGCAAAACACTGCATCACCATACTTCACCAAATTACATTTAAAGGTCCCGTGAAATGAAAATAAAAAATGTTATATGTTAGTGTCAGAAAGTTAGTTTTAAGGAAATCTATGAGCTAGTTTGCTCCAAAACAGTGACAAAATTTTCATTTAGAAGATATAAACATCCAAAGCTTTCAGTTTGTCACTTCCCCCTAAACGAATCAATCTACGAATTATTTAATGTCACCTCATGCTTCAGTTTCTCATCAAGTCTTCTGACCAATTAAATGCTCTCTAGTATCTGACATGCCCCACCTCCTTCAAGACGCTTTTCATTTGTTTGTCATTGGATGGGTTTGAGCTCAACCACTCACTGGCAGAGCTGTGATAAAACAAAATGCCATTGGCTGTTTTTTTTTAAGAGGAGGGGCTACTCTGTCCCACCCTATCTTCACATTTCAGTTGAGATAATTGTTAAACATTGAATAAAAATGCACATTTCTAGACACTTCACGGGACCTTTAGGAATAGCAAATATTTTAGTAACGTCTTTATGAATGTTATGTTTAAATGTAAATTTATTTTAAATAAGCACTGATTTGCATACATTTGTAGCACAAAAATCTAAAAGTCAGGTAAAAAATTTTTGTTTAATGTTTATTTTTACATATTAAAGTCAGTGTTTTTCAGGGGATTTTTTGAATGACTATGAACAGCTATTATATAAATACACTGGTCACACTTTACAATAAGGTTCATTAGTTAATGTTAATTAATGCATTTACTAACAGGAACAAGCAATGAACAATATATTTACAACAGTATTTGTTCATGTTAGTTAACGTTAGTTAATGAAAATACAGTAGTTCATTGTTAGTTCATGTTAACTCATGGTGCATTAACTAATGTTAACAGGCACGGACTTGGATGTTAATAATGCATTAGTAAATGTTCAAATATGATTAATAAATGCTGTACAAGTGTTGTTCATGATTACTTCATGTTAGTAAAGGCATTAACTAATGAACCTTATTGTAAAGTGTTACCAATACACTTTTTATTTTTGAATAAAAGGTTGTGTATATAATCAAACAAGCTATGTTTGGATATATACCCCTGTAAAAACCTGCAGAATATCAATTTGAATAAAGCTAAAGGTTGTTGTTTGCAAGTAATGCTGAAGTGGAGATTTAAGTTTGTCTTCAATTTAAGACACAGCTTTTAAAAATAAGTAGTATAATTGAAATATACAGACACAACTTGTTTTTTTTAAAGTCTTAAAACCTTAAAATTGTCCAGTGCATGAAAAACAATACTTTTTCCTGTTTCTCCTAAATGAAGGTTTTAATGTAACTGCATTTGGTTTCTTTTACCTCAATTATTTACCTGTTTTCTTCCAGTCGGACAGCTCCATATCGCTGGACGCTCTCGATGCTTTGAGCGACACACTGGGGGCTTCTAAACCACCCCAAAAATTACCAGAACTCAAACCTGGACAGATAGTTGATGTAAGGAAGTGTTTTCTCTTCTACTTCTTAAAAAACAGATTACTATATTGTTTGAAAAACTGCTAGTTTCCTATACATTTTTCTAATCATATGCATGGTTTTGCACAGGAGAAGAAACAGACCTCAGAGAAAGGTGTTCGTGTTGGAGAAAGAGACGACACACTTCCACCACAATACAGATTCAAAGAGGAAGATCTCAAGAAATATCCTCCACCTGCGAAAGAGGTCAGACACTCCATAAAACTCAAATGAGTGTGTTAATTCATATTTCTCCACCTTGGAATCATATCGGCACCTTGGAATTATAAGGTTCTATCTGCGTTCTGAATGATTTTGAGATATCGAGCTTTAAAATTTTTGCATTCCAGGGCAAACAGTATGTGTGTAAAATTTGTTTTTTATTTCAAAAAGTATTAAAATTCAAACAACTAGTAAAACTTCCCATAATGTAAATACGTTGTCATTTAATAAGAATATGTCAATAACTCAATATTGACAAAAATGTCAGATAGAAACATATAATTCTAAGGTGACGATATGATTCAATCTACATTTTGAGCAGTTTTTAAATTGAGCTTTTAAGATTTTGCATTCCACCAAGCATGATAAAATGGGAAAATAACCCTGAAGATCCTGAATCATGTCTCAAATTTGGATTTTTGGAAGTGGTTAAATGTAGATAAAAACATCTAATGCTATAAATAACTGTCTGCTTGGTATATTAAGGCAAAACTATAACTGAAGGCATCATTTTCAAGAAGCACAAATAGTTCATTTATTTTTTTAATAACTATTTTATTTATTGCAATTCAGTTCAGTTCTTGAACATTGAAATTCTTCAATACTTGTTTAAAAACGTTACATTTATTGAGGATTTATTTTATATTTAGTTAAAAACAAATATCATATTTAATGCCCTTAAGGAAATCTTCCATTATGAATTTTCTGAAGATCCCTCAGTTGCTCTGCTATGTGTATGCCCTGAAGGCTTCGATGTCAGATCAAAAATTTACTTATTACAAATCTTACTTGCTGCAACTTTGAAGTGCATCACATGCAGATAGCAAAATTCTGAACCTCCAACATATAATGCTTGGATTCAAAAAGTGTAGGAACTGTATCAAATGGAACAAATAACAAATGCATTACGACTTCAAAAAAATTTTTCTAAAGAGAAATTTTCTCTTTAAATTCAATTTTCCTGTCATGCCTTTAATTTTTCAATTATGAGCCATACTGAACTCTATTCGGACTCTATTAGTTCTACTGAACTATCGGAGAACAAGGACACTTTTTTCTTCCTTTCTTCACTTTATCTTTTATCTATTTATTTATATATTTTTCTTATTAATTAATTTATTTTAATTTATTTATTTATTTATATTCATTATTATAATAGTTGTTGAATAAAAAATGTTCTGTCTTTTATATGTCCAAAGGATGCTTTTTGTTCTGTACATGTATTTACAACCATTTTAGTAGATATAAATCGATGTTCTAACATGTAAAACACTATATTACACTAAATTGTAATTCATGCGATGTTGTATTCTCTTGTAAAAATAAGTTAAAAAAAACTAACAAACAAAAAAACGTATATTATTCTTATTACTTCCAAAGCTTGAAAAGGCAGTGCTAAATAGTTTTTAAATATCATTTCCATTTAGAGAGAAGCAGCTAGTGTGATGCTGTCATTTTTTTTTTTTAGAGATCAGTAATCATGTTAAGGGTGTGTTCTGATTGGCCACCATCACTGAACGCTGTGCTCTGATTTGCCTGTCCCACTGTGTTCTGATTGGCTGATGTCTGTTTTAGCCTTCACTGAACACAGATGATGCGATGGACATACTTTCAGGAGATTTCACGACCCCTGCATCGGCACCTGTTGTCAAAGCTCCTGTTCCTCCTGCACAGGTACTACTTTACAATCACTTCTTCAAAACAATGACATTTATGTACAGTTTAAGACAGAATTATTACCTCACTTTCATTTTTTATCTTTTTAAAATATTTTGCAAGTGATGTTTAATAGAGCAAGGAAATTTTCACAGTATGTCTGATAATATTTTTTTTTCTGGAGAAAGTCTTATTTAATTTATTCCTGGAATAATAAAAGCAGTTTTGATTTTTAAAACCCATCTTAAGGTCAAAATTATTAGCCCCTTTAAGCAATTTTTTTTTCGATAGTCAACAGAACAAACCATCATTATACAAAAACTTGCCTAATTACCCTAACCTGCCTAGTTAAACTAATTAACCTACTTAAGCCTTTAAATGCAACTTTAAGCTGTATAGACGTGTCTTAAAAATATCTAGACAAATATTATTTGCTTTCATCATGGCAAAGATCAAATAAATCAGTTATTAGAAATTAGTTATTAAAACTATTATGTTTACAAATGAGTTGAAAAAAACACTGTTAAACAGAAATTGGGGGAAAATAAACAGGGGGGCTAATAATTCAGGGGGGCTAATTATTATGACTTCAACTGTACATACAGTTAGAAAGGTTACCTGTGAAAAAACCACTGTTTATGTGTGTGTGTATATTTAAATGCAAATGAGCTGCTGCTCCCTGCCACTTTGCGTAAGAGGGCAGATCCTTTATACCCGTGCCTTGGTTGTTCTGGCAACAGCAAGCAAAACATCTAGATGTTTAAAGCCTTTTCAGCTTAAATGCGCAGATTATTTGTGGTTTTATATCCATTATTAGCTCATTGTTTGTGTTTATTTAATTCAGCTCTAGTTAGGCTGGCTTGTCAAAGCCAGACTACTGAAATGCTATTTAAACTTATTATTAGGCTGGCTTGTCAAAGCCAACCTACTGTTATCCTATTTAAACTTATTATTATTATTAGGCTGGCTTGTGTAGCAAGCCAGACTACTGAAATCCTATTTAAACTTATTAGGCTGGCTTGTGTAGCAAGCCAGACTACTGTTATCCTATTAAACTTATTATTATTATTAGGCTGGCTTGTGTAGCAAGCCAGACTACTGTTATCCTATTAAACTTAATATTATTATTATTTTTCTATATTATTCTTCTTCTGAGACTAAAAATTAAACTCTATCTCCTCCTAGGCCATTCAAGCTATGACCATCAAACTCAGGTCAGACCTCCGAACTATTCTAACTCGAGTTGCTATATCCTTTCCGACTGATCCGACTTTCGGTTTTCCGAAAAACGTCCCGGGACCGTCGGAAAAATCCCATAGACGTAACATTGGATCAAACTTTGTGACCTCATAACTCCGCATCAGAATGTCACACAGACTTCTAACTGGGCTCATTTAACTCAGACTATCAAACTGCCAATGACTAATCACCTTTAAACTTTCTGGCCACGCCTTAGCAACCACTTTTGGACCCTAGAAACCGCCCCATAGACTTCAATTGCAAAAGACTCTCATTGACTTTACATTGGATCAAACTTTGTGAGCTCATAACTCTGCATCAGACTGTCCTACAGACTAATGGCTGAGCTCATTTAACTCAGTCTAGCCAGCAGCCAATCACTGATGGCCTTTTAACTTTTTAGCCACACCCTAACAACCAGATACTGCACCCTAGCAACTGTCCCATAGACTGCCATTAAAGAGGTTCAGACTGATATTGTCATGCTGCAGTGTGATAGAGACATGGGGGTTGTTTTTAACTGTTCATACTGGCAAGAAGCTTTGATACATCATCAGTCTAAGCTGTCAATCAACTCCATAGCAACAAAACAGACTAACCTAGCAACGATATAACAGCAGCTATATCTCAGCATCAGAACATCGTAGAGAGGCGGGGGTTGGCTTGTTTGACTCATGCTCGCACTCCATCTATCTATCTATCTATCTATCTATCTATCTATCTATCTATCTATCTATCTATCTATCTATCTATCTATCTATCTATCTATCTATCTACCACTATCTATCTATCTATCTATCTATCTATCTATCTATCTATCGATCTATCTATCGATCTATCTACCTATATCTATCTATCTATCGATCTATTGATCTATCTATCTATCGATCTATCTATCTATCGATCTATCTATCTATCTATCTATCTATCTATCTATCTATCTATCTATCTATCTATCCATCTATCCATCTATCCATCTATTCATCTATCTATCTATCTATCTATCTATCTATCTATCTATCTATCTATCTATCTATCTATCTATCTATCTATCTATCCATCATGCTAAGAACATGCTAATTCATGCTAGAATCATGCTAGTTACATGCTAATTCATGCTAGAATCATGCTAGTCACATGCTAATTTATGCTAGAATCATGCTAGTCACATGCTAATTCATACTAGAATCATGCTAACAACATGCTAATTCATGCTAGAATCATGCTAGTCACATGCTAATTCATACTAGAATCATGCTAACAACATTCTAATTTATGCTAGAATCATGCTAGTCACATGCTAATTCATGCTAGAATGATGCTAACAACATGCTAATTCATGCTAGATTCATGCTAGTAACATGCTAATTCATGTTAGAATCATGCTAACAACATGCTAATTCTTGCTAGAATCATGCTAGTAACATGCTAATTCATGCTAGACTCATGCTAACAACATGCTAATTCATGCTAGAATCATGCTAACAACATGCTAATTCATGCTAGAATCATGCTAACAACATGCTAATTCATGCTAGAATCATGCTAGTAACATGCTAATTCTTGTTAGAATCATGCTAACAACATGCTAATTCATGCTAGAATCATGCTAGTAACATGCTAATTCATGCTAGAAGCATGCTAACAACATGCTAATTCATGCTAGAATCATGCTAACAACTTGCTAAATCATGCTAGAATCATGCTAGTAACATGCTAATTCATGCTAGAAGCATGCTAACAACATGCTAATTCATGCTAGAATCATGCTAGTAACATGCTAATTCATGCTAGAATCATGCTAGTAACATGCTAATTCATGCTAGAATCATGCTAAGAACATGCTAATTCATGCTAGATTCATGCTAACAACATGCTAATTCATGCTAGAATCGTGTTAATTCATGCTAAAATCATGCTAGTAACATGCTAATTCATGTTAAAATCATGCTAGGTACATGCTAATTCATGCTAGAATCATGCTAGCAACATGCTAATTCATGCTAGAATCGTGCTAACAACATGCTAGAATCATGCTAACAACATGCTAATTCATGCTAATAACATGCTAATTCATACTAAAATCATGCTAACAACATGCTAATTCATGCTAAAATCATGCTAGGTACATGCTAATTCATGCTAGAATCATGCTAACAACATGCTATTTCACGTTAAAATCATGCTAATAACATGCTAATCTATCTATCTATCTATCTATCTATCTATCTATCTATCTATCTATCTATCTATCTATCTATCTATCTATCTATCTATCTATCTTTTCTTACTTTTTAAAACTGTTTAAACTAAATAAACTATTACCGTCAGGCTTTCACAAGCCAGCCTCAAAGTTTGTTCTCAAACTTTAAGAATCTAGTTAGGCTGGCTTGTGTAGCAAGCCAGACTACTGTTATCCTATTAAACTTATTATTAGGCTGGCTTGTGTAGCAAGCCAGACTACTGTTATCCTATTAAACTTATTATTATTTTTATTATTAATATTATTATTCTTCTTCTGAGACTAAAAATTAAACTCTATCTCCACCTAGACCTTTCAAGCTATGACCATCAAACTCGGGTCAGACCTCCGAACTATTCTGACTCGAGTTGCTATATCCTTTCCGACTGATCCGACTTTCGGTTTCCCGAAAAACGTCCCGGGACCGTCGGAAAAATCCCATAGACGTAACATTGGGTCAAACTTTGTGACCTCATAACTCCGCATCAGAATGTCACACAGACTTCTAACTGGGCTCATTTAACTCAGACTATCAAACTGCCAATGACTGATCACCTTTAAACTTTCTGGCCACGCCCTAGCAACCACTTTTGGACCCTAGAAACCGTCCCATAGACTTCCATTGCAAAAGACTCTCATTGACTTAACATGGGATCAAACTTTGTGAGCTCATAACTCTGCATCAGACTGTCCTACAGACTAATGATTGATCTCATTTAACTCAGTCTAGCCAGCAGCCAATCACTGATGGCCTTTTAACTGTCTAGCCACACCCTAACAACCAGATACTGCACCCTAGCAACTGTCCCATAGACTGCCATTAAAGAGGTTCAGACTGATATTGTCATGCTGCAGTGTGATAGAGACATGGGGGTTGTTTTTAACTGTTCATACTGGCAAGAAGCTTTGATACATCATCAGTCTAAGCTGTCAATCAACTCCATAGCAACAAAACAGATTTACCTAGCAACGATATGGCACCAGCTATATCTCAGCATCAGAACATCGTAGAGAGGCGGGGGTTGGCTTGTTTGACTCATGCTCTTACACCATTTATCTATCTATCTATCTATCTATCTATCTATCTATCTATCTATCTATCTATCTATCTATCTATCTATCTATCTATCTATCTATCTACCTCTTTCTATCTATCTATCTATCTATCTATCTATCTATCTATCTATCTATCTATCTATCTATCTATCTATCTATCTATCTATCTACCTCTTTCTATCTATCTATCTATCTATCTATCTATCTATCTATCTATCTATCTATCTATCTATCTATCTATCTATCTATCTATCTATCTATCTACCTCTTTCTATCTATCTATCTATCTATCTATCTATCTATCTATCTATCTATCTATCTATCTATCTATCTATCTATCTATCTATCTATCTATCTATCTATCTATCTATCTATCTATCATGCTAACAATATGCTAATTCATGCTAGAAACATGCTAGTTACATGCTAATTCATGCTAGAATCATGCTAGTCACATGCTAATTCATGCTAGAATCATGCT